TACTCTATATACATATATTTATATATATATATATATATATAGAGAAAAATAAATTCACGTAAGCAAGCAGCATGAATTTTTATGCACATGCATATGCACATACACATGCACATGGACAAGCTTATGCCATATACACATCTAGAGACAAGAGCGCTATGAAGCCAAGTCTGCATGGAGTCTCTCAATGGTCTGATTTGGTTCTTGATTTTTGTGTGAAGAATATGGATAACAACAGGTTATGCTCACTAAAGTTATTTTCGTTGTTATCGTTATCGTTGATATTGATTGGCTTTACTTTACGTTAACAATAAATACTTGAATTTTCAAAAATGCAACAACAATAAAAAACTCATATACTTCAGTTTAGGCGATGTCCCAAGACCTTACCGTTAATTCTGTCAATACATGCACAAGCTTACAATAAACAAACGGTACAGTAATCTCTAAGCCTAATATACCTTTGAAAATTTTTCCAAAAAAGATTCTCTTGTTCTTCGTCTTCTTCTTCATTTTACACCAAGCAATATTCTTTGCATTTTTCTATATTTCGTTTTTTTTCTAAAATAAAAAAACACTTTGTAGGTTTTCTTTAATTTGTTAAGAAAACATTTTTTTTTTTTTTTTTTTTTTTTTGAAAGAAACGTGAAAAAGTTTGTTAACAAAAATTTTTAAAAGAAAAAAAATTTGAAATATTTGTTTAATAAAAGTTTTTGACATTTTTAAAGAAAGCAGTCTTTCTTTTTAATAAACGGTGAACTGCTGCCCTTGAGTTAAGATATAATAGTATTATCGCGTTTATTATGCGCGTAAAGAAGCACAAAATTCGTTTCCAGCTGAGACACCATTAACAAAGTAAGAACTTACTTCAGCTTGCGATTGACGGATTTTGATATCGAGTCGAAGATTAGTCTCTTGGGAAACATATATATGTCAAATATAACAACTTTTATTAGGGCTGATGTGGTCCCTTTTTATGCTGTTTTTGGTGAAAAGACAACCGACTTTAGCATATAACTCAATTAGAAAAGAAAGATTAAATATTAAAATAACTAATAAGTCAATAAAATCAAAAATTTAACCAAAAAATTCTTATAACATGTTATTGGAGATATACAGTTGAAAGGCTTCCGCCCAAACGTCAAAAATAAATATATATACATATAAATACATACGTAAATGTGGTTATTCTCTACAAACACTCAACATAGATGGCAAACTGAAATCGAAATTTGTCCTATGATCCCCAAAAAAAGCTACTGGTAAACGGATTCCCATTGGCCAGCTTACACGCCCCCATATAAGAAAATATTTTGCAATTTCATTTATTGTATATCATAGGACAATCCTATTCAGCCAAAAAGTATATCCGCACAATGAACGAAAATGCGAAATTTCAAAAAGTCTCTGAACAGTTTATACGAAAAAAAAAGTTATTTTCATATCGAACACCGAAGTGATTTGCGTGGCTTCGACTCTAGATGGTAGATGGTAAAACAAGTCAAAATTTTTGGTTATTGATTGAAGATCCCGAATTCAATTTTATTTATCATTCCGAATTGTTCCAGGTTTTTTTACCAATCCGCAATTACAATTCTATTACAAAAATAAACAATTTCTGTTTATGTGCTTTCTTCTTGTTAAAATACACTTTTTATTCAACTCAATGGTCGTGGTTTCAAATCTCAAGTGCGGTAGAGTTTTTAATAAGGACATATAAGCCACAAATCTACTCGCTTAGTCCATCTCTGTTCAACAACCAAAAAAAAAAAAAAAAAAAAATACACTTTTTAAGCCACGCGCAAATTTGTCTACAGCCAAAAACCACAAAAACTGGCAATACTTCTCAAAGAGCCTTTACCGTCACAATATTATATACGAGTAGCGAGTGACACTTGGCTAGATACTAATGCGTGGACTCCATTAAATTTTAACTTTTAGTGCTACCGGATCACCATCCCCCTCTTACCGAAACCTATAGCTGTAAGTGCTCTGAAAAATCTATGAATCTTTATATAATTTTACGCATTTCATCGTCTTTATCATACTGATAATAACGTTTTGCTGGAGTCACCCACAAGTTCAGATAAAACTGTAGTGGCGGAAATCGCCATACAATAATAACAAAAGAGCTAAGGTTGTTTATATTGCGCCTTTGAAAGAATTAGCGATTGGATTCTCAACTGATAGTTACCACACCAAAAAAACGGGATGGTATCAGCTGGTCTTGCTAGACAAGAGAATATGTACAGGACGTTGTACTAATTGTTATAGACGAAATACATTTTGTAATTGTATCATGTACGAATTTCATTACGTCAACATAGGATGCAATATACGTTGGTTTATCTACTGCTTTTACCAACGCTCAAGATCTCGCCAATTGGCTGGATATTAAGGAAATGGGGTTATATAATTTTAAACCTTCCGTAAGACCGGTTGCTTTGCAAGTGCATATAATTGGATTTTCCGGTAATTAAACCGATTTTCATAACATTTCTGACTCTTCTTTAATGATTTATTTGCAGGCAAACATTAATGTCCACGGATGGCCACCACGAATCGGCCGACATTCCAAACAATACGCTCTTATCCGGCAACGGGACCCAGCATAGTTTTTGTTTCATCCCGCCGTCAAACTCGATTAACCGCTTTCGATCGAATCTATTTCTTCTTTACTCCTTTGCCAGATACTGGATTATTTATGCTTACGCGTATTATTTACGTCATATTTTTAATATATATCATGCTTGGCGAGAAGAGATTATCTTTAATTTTAATTTAATTTTAATATTTGCTTTTAATTGTATTAAGTTCACTTGTAAGTAACGTACAGATGCATTGAAATGTTAAAAATAGAACGGTGGTATAAGGCAAAAAATGTAAGATCCGAGTGTTCAATTGATTGGTTCCCTTCCAAAAAGAGGAAGAGCGCACGCAACATGTTCGACATCTATAAAAATTGTATAAAACTATTCAGGAGATGTACAAGGGGAGATGAATGCATATTTTTGATACATTTATATAAAAAAGATTATATATTACATTTCAACCAAACCATTTCTGTGAATATATATGGAAAGAGAATATTCTTCTTTTTTTTTGAAAATAGGATAAAATCGAATGCCACGCCTATAAAAATTGTATAAAACTATTCAGGAGACGTACAAGGGGAGATGAATTTATATTTTTGATACATTTATATAAAGACCTAAGAAATAAACTACGTGGATGATTCATGGTAGCAGAAAGTGAGAAGCGATCGTATAGCCATGGCTGCTGATTAACTTCATTTACGCCACTGTATTTTGTACAGGTCCCAACAAGAAAGAAAGCGTATTGAAATTCGTTGAAAGTGTTTGACGAAGGCACTGTTTTTGATAGAACATATAGAGTATATTTCGAAGCACTTCAAATAAGGGATTTGGACCTCTCTATTAAGCCACAATGTGGTCGACCGTCTTTGATCGACCTCGTTACCGTTAGAGCTAAACAATTTCTTGGAGACATGAGAGATTGCGGAAATTCAGCTTAACAAGCCATTTCGGATTTTATTCGGAAACTAGGATTTTGCTTTCTTCTAAAAGCGCACAGAACGGGTAGCCGGCGTTACTGCCGCTCAGCGCTACTCAGATGTTAACCTCCACTAGTATATATAACCAACATTGAGAATATCCGGATCAAAATTTTTATAAGAATTTGCTTTGTTCACACTGTCGCAACGCACTAATGGATCTTTAAGGAAGTCTACTCCTTCAATCTACAATCGTGAACAAAATCTTACGCTTAAACACGTACTTCGTGATTGCCAAAGCATTTCTCAAGTTAGAAAATTTGTATTTGGAGTGTCGTCTAAGGAAGTTCCCGGAGAGCATAATATCAATAAAGTCAAGTAAACTTTATAGTCTTGCTAACTCTCATTTTACTTTAGTTTTAGAATACATTTCTCTTTTAAAACTTGATCGGAACGCATGTATTTATTCGAGAACATTCACCATTGGATAACTAATAATAAAAAGGTGTCATGAAGAGCGACTCCTAATAACTTTCTTGATGACTCGATACTATGATTGTATATTTTTGGTGGCAAATTATAATAACGCTTCGATATTTCCTAGCGAGGTCAGATAGGTTGTTTGTACTAAGAACTCTTTCTTACTCGTGGTATTCTTCCTTAGCCCTTGGCTAATAACGCAATCATCAAAAATCGACGATAGATAGGAGGTAGGTGTTTCTTGGTAAAAAGTTGATGGATTACAGCCTGGTATATATGGAGAGGATTTTTTCTTGGAGAAAGTTCCAAAAGCTTTTAAAGGGCTGTAAAAGTATGAGGTGTATTTAAATGGCAAAGCTTGTTCAATTGAGTAATGGATATTTCGGGATGGAATAGAAAAAGATGTAACATGTGAGAAAAAAGATACTTTTAAGACTGACTAAAAAAAATTGAAAGATAAGACTGACTAAAAAAAATATGGGTGAACATAAGAAACAACGGATGAGCAGAGAAGCTTAAATCGATTCCGACTCACTTCCCGCTCAAAATGTGGATCTAAATCAAGCCCGTATGGATGTCTTTTATACGTCCGCACAAACTTAAAGAACCTTTTTACCACAAGTGGTGTAGGGTACAACAACTAATTGTCATGATGGAGATGGGTGAATGAGTTCTTGCTGTTCATTCCTACAAGAGACTGTTTTCATTATCGAATTATAGGGCAACAATGTAGACTCGAGTAGGCCTAGTATCTCTGACAAATCAAAAATAAATAGCAGTTTGCTGCCAAATTTTTTTACGACAGTCTCGGGCCTTTGTTTCTCGGATCCATCTTGTATTTCTTTCAAGATCCTTAATCTTTCTATCAACTAGGTTGAGTGGTCGTTACTAATCGTCTTTGGTCTAATAAAAGTGTGCTTTTTTATGTGGACTAACATCTTTTCGGTTTGTTATTGAATATAAAAACAGAGAAAAAAAAAATTGAAAAATTAATCAAGGTCGATAGAAAATGATGGCTTGGCGTTTTCGAAAATGCCTAAAAAACATAGATGTACTAAATTCGTAAAATTTGTGAAGAAAATATTCCCTTTTGGACATCTTTTTAAAGAGTTAAGATGTGCCCCGTAGCTTGCTGATAAGCATTCCTTTTAATTTGCTTGAATTATTTTAGAAGTGAGAAGCCTGAGAGTATTACCACCAACGCAGCTTTCTCTCATGCGCTAGATACAGGCTTATCTGGATCGGAAGACGAACAAGAGTCGGTTAATGAGTACCGCCGCGGCGGCTACCATCCAGTGCTAATAGGTGACATATTTCAAAACCGATTCCGTGTGGTACGTAAAGTCGGATGGGGCAATTTTTCCACCGTGTGGCTATGCAGAGATTTGAGGTAAGAATCTATTCGAAGATTTTATTAAATTCAATTAATCTAAAATGTCGGCGCAACAACTTACACGCCAGAGAGGAAGAATATGTGGTGTTGAAAGTAGTGAAAAGCGCTCCGCATTACACAGAGATTGCAGGTGATGAAATACGACTGCTAGAAACGATCAGAGACTCAGATCCAACGGACGAGAAGCGCGAACGTTTTGTACGTTTGCTAAATCAATTCACGGCGAGAGGAGTAAACGGCGTACACACTTGCCTCGTATTTGAAGCTCTAGGCTGCAGTCTTTATAAGCTGATCGTAAAGAATAAATATCAAGGTTTAGCTATCGACCAGGTGCGCAACATTATTAAGCAAGTTTTAGAGGGATTGGATTATTTGCATAGAAAATGCGGTATAATACACACAGACATAAAGCCAGAAAATATTTTATTGGTTATCGATAACGCGATAGAAATGAATCAGCAAATTGATAATGAAGTAACGAATCTGCGTCTTAAAGGAAGCTCCTTACCCGATTCATACAGTAAGTTGCAACACTCTTGGATTAAGTCGGTGCTGGCTAATTATAATTGCAATGATTTCGTTTAAATTGTGTATGTGTTTGACAGTAAGTTCTGTTGAGAAGCAAAGAGTTTCCCTCGCCATATGGCCAATGCAAAAAAGTATCGAAAATAACTCAACGTCGTCGGGCTCGTTCATGGTTTCACGGATACCGAGAAGTGACGGTTGGGAAACTGCTTCCCCTTTTCCTTCTTCTCCCTCCCTTCTATCAGGCGAGAGTATCGAGAGTGGCTGGGAAAGTGATGTTAGCGGCAATGTCTCAAAGTCGCCCGGCGGTAGGATCTGGGGCTATTTGGACGAAAAAAACTTCGCTGGCAAGGTTATTTCGTTTAACAATCCATCCTAATCAACAAACAAGAAACATAATAATCACACCCAACCCCGTACTCCTCTTATGCAAAATATTTGGAATACAATTCATTTAATTTTCAATTTCATTTTTTCATTTATTTTTTATTTTACCGCAACCACTCACTTCAAAAACTTATGCTTTTCTCCAATAACCCAAAAAATCACTTAAAAAATTGTAAGAAATCACACAAAATATTCTCTAAACAAAAACCTAATTGAAAACAGTCAGTTGAAGAAGCGAAAAAAGACGGACAATATCAAGACAATCTCGATGCCAACGACACTACGGATGCCACGGACAACAATTTGAATAACGACGATAATGTCAAAGATGTAAAGACTGTTGTGTTTATTAATTCCGATAAAATACAAAGTTCTAATCCAGATGAAAGCGTCAACGAAATCAAGAAGCCCACCACCAACGATCAACGCGGCTATCAGCGACCTAAAAAGTTCATGAAAAAAGCACAGGTAAAATTCCTTTCCCTTGTTTCCTTTCAAAAACTGGTAACACTATGATAAAAGCAGTGATGCTATCATTTTCTACACCTCGCAAGAACGTTATAAAACAAGTAAAAACGTCGTAGTGATCCACGACTGACCCTTAGATATCGTACGTCACTTCGCTTAGTATACTAACAAATATGTAAAGGCACAGATTTCATGGAAAACCTCATAACGGAGGACGTCCACAACTTCAACTGGCAAGATTCAAATTTAGTTCAAAAGTTCCGGGTCCCACATGTGAATTTAGAGTGACGAAACACTTGCTTATTACTCAGCCGTTTTTGTCGAGGAAATCTGAAAATTGCAGCTTTTCATAACAAGTCAAAATACGGGATGTGTGAATGGGAAGTAATCGAAAAAATGTTGGGTCTGAACCGTTATTTTATCAAAGTGTCTTAAATATTGCGAAGTGTAGGTTGAAGACAAGGGTATGTAGACAAGCATCAGACTTGCACTGACGGACGGACAAGATACGATATAAGCTGTTACATACATTCGCACAAACCTAATGTACTCTTATATCGCAAATGGTGGCTGAGCTTAGCAAAATTATTTCGTCAGCGTAAGACAAATTTTTTAGTAGCGGCATAGGTTAACTTATGCAGCTCGCTCGCGCATGTTTTATTATATTCTGGCAATTATTTACTTCTTGAAGTCAACGACAAGACTTTGTGTCTCTTTTTTGAAGTCATACCCCTTTTTAAAAATGGTCTGTAAACTTCAACGCTTGGGTATCCTTCGGAATTTTTAAACACAGTCGAGCTTTCAAAAACGTGCCTTGCGCCAATTCATTTATTTATTTTCTGTTGTATTTACAGTTGGCCTTTCGCCGTAGCGGGTCCAATACTAACGCTAGCTCTGCTAAAGAACAAACAATTAATAGTTCGACTGCGCCAAGATTCTCCTATACAGACGCTATGCAGTCATTGGTCAATAACATGGACCTCAAAGTGAAAATCGCCGATCTAGGCAATGCCTGTTTCGAGGTAAGCAATTAAGGAATTGCTTGGCAACAATCGCTGAACAATCGATTTCCTAGAGTCATCACTTTACCGAAGCTATACAAACTCGACAGTACCGTTCCGTTGAGGTTCTTTTGGGAAATGGATACAGTTACAGCGCTGACATATGGAGTACGGCATGTATGGCTTTTGAAATAGCTACCGGGGATTATCTATTCGATCCGCATGCATGCAAGTCTTATTCCAAAGATGAACATCACTTGGCTCTTATGATTCAAATGTTGGGCCCAGTACCTCCAGACTTAATATATCGGGGTAAACATGGTCTTAACTACTTTAGCAGTTATGGTAAATAGGAACCTCTTCCATTTTATAGTTTCCTTGTTTTTAGTCCTTTTCTTCGACATTTTAGGCAGTTTACGCAGCAAAATTAAATTGAAACCCCGGAGTATGACAGATTTGTTAATTGAAAAATATAGTTGGCAACCGGAAGAGGCAAAGAAATTTTCCGAATTTCTATTGCCAATGTTGGAATACGATCCCAATGCACGGGCCACAGCTGCCGAATGCCTTAAACACCCTTGGATGGAGTAAGAAGAATTCGTTCCAATCATTTAATTCTTTCTTTTGCTGATTGGGTTTGGATCACCCTTATAAAAAGGTATCATAGATTGGAAAAGCAAGTGTCCCTTACAATCTTGTCATTGAAGGAGGTATCGAGAACATGTTCATCATATTTGAAATTCGTACAAAATTGAAAAAAAAATTAAATTTTCTATTTAATTTAATATATTTTGTGACGAATACAGCAACGAAAGCGAACTTTAATGAAAGCCACTTATCTGACTACAAAACTCGCAAGAACTTGAATGTAGTATCAATCGAAAAACGTTATTCAGTCTTCGACTAATATCGACTCAAGCAAACTATCTGGTTTTTTTTTTTATATGTGCATGGAAATGAAGGAATTGACGTCGAAGTCTTAGCATAACTATGGCCCTATTGTCTTTAGCAGTTCGCTTGCAAATACCCTAAGACATGTAACGTAGACAGACTTTAATCAATGCGACTGCACTTAGGCATGCATGTAACGTGCGCGGATAATTGTTGTGGGATGATAACGGTATAGCAATATTTAAGGGCAAATCTGACATTCGGAAAATTGCGCCTGTGAAATTAAAAGAAACAGAGAAAGCCAGAGAGAGAGAGAGAGAGAGAGAGACAGACAGAAAGAAAGTAACCACTTCTTCCCATCCTTAGCATCAAGAATCTATGAAAGGAAGCCTGACCCTAAGGAAGTGTTTCTGCCACTCATGGTCTTGTATTAACGCTGGCTTGATTTATAGTTTAGTTAGAAAATGGAGATGGAAATAGGGAAGAAACAAGAGCACGTAGTGAGGAGCAAACGGTTCGGTCTAAGCTGGAAGTAATTTCATTCTGGTATTTTTGTTTTTCTTTTCTTTTAATTCTCTGACGGCATAATAAAACTGAAAATACACTGCATACAAGAAATAAAAATACAAACAACGTGATATGGGCCAACAAGTTACCACGCTCCTCTGGCTGGCATGCCACCCAAAGCAATAAAAACAACGGCAGCATATATAAGCGATACATAATTCAGGAAACACACAAGTGCACATAAATATACCTTCATATAACTATATACATAGATATCTGTAAATATCTACTTGTGTTTGTATATAAGAGCATTAATGCATATACGAATGTATATATATATATATATATATATACATATATATTTATATAAAAGTAGATATAGTAAATATAAATCTGAGGCATGCTGCTACAGGCAGAAACCTTTAAATTAAAAGCCAGAACATTAACAGAAATGCTGAGTTTGAACTGTAGGTACGAGTTACAATCGATACGAATCCAATAAACTAAACAACAAGCATGCATACATACATGGCTACATAAAAAATGTGAAAAACTTTCGTATATACAGACTATTTTCAAGTCTTATGCTTTAGTTTAATTCACAGTTGATTTTCAAGGATTTCATTCTCTGTAATCGTTGCATTCATTTCCCTCAACGCCCTTTGCATCTGTAGGTATGTGTTTGTTATCGTTTCGACTCAACCGTATAATAATTGTAATTTTTACATATGATACCATATTTTCTTTTCCTACCTACTCACGAGACCAGACGGCTTGTTTTTTGTTTTTGTTTTTGTTTTTTTTTTTTTGTTATATGGGTCAGATATATGCGGTGTGCAACTACAGGTTGTTTCTCGTGTTTGCTATCAAAAGTTAATCTTTTGTTTTTATTATAATTAAACTCTTTTCGAACTCAGCAGGACATGAAAGTATTTTTCACATGAAGATATCATTCTTTAAATGAATACTTTATACGACTGCAAATATAAGATAAGGCGTTAATGGAGAGCTAAAAACTATTCGAAGTCATTTTTCTCCTGCCGGACTTGCGTGGGATATCATGTTTACTTTAACTTGTCTTCGTATCCTTCTATTAAGCGCTGAGCTGTAGAATTTTGATGTGTACGTTTTACGTTTACAAATCGATTCAATATATTCCATAAATGGTACAAGTTATCAAAGAATTTACAGCGTGCGTGAAGTCCACGCAGTCCCAAGAAGTGCACGTTGCCGCATGTAGCAGAGTAAATTTAAAACCAATAAGAGCTTTATTAGCCACTCAACGTACTTCTATCGTCTAAAGAATAATTGGTGCATACGATTTGGTCATGCCGTGCATCCTTCTATTATTGCGGCTCGAAAAGTCGTGAAAATTACGGACGAAATGGCAAATGCACCTGAACGGGGGAAAAGATCTATTTTTTCTCTGCTAAGAATGTTATCTGTTACAAGGGCTAGCTTGCAAGGCATGCAAAGCTTTTGAACAAATTTCAAATACATTATAAGTTGAGGAAGTAGCGAGTCGTGTTCGCTTACGTTCAATATGAAAGTCATAAATATTTGGAACGGCGGGAAAGGCTGCAACGCGTAGATTGTTCCGCAGTGGCGGTGTTCAAGGCGGTTAAAGAGCGGGGGGAGCGGGCAGAGCGGTTTGCGAACTTTCTTTTGTAGGGTCATACATAAATATATACCCATATACCGATCGATTCCAAATCACGTCCTGAGGCACTTTTGGAATGCACCTAAGCTCGCTAAGCTGTCGATCTGTTTGTTTCTTTGTGTGTATATCAGCCCGCCTTGTTTCCTTTGATTTAGCCTACAGATCCTAATTTTTGAAATATTTTGATAAAATTGGGTACACCGGCCTATACTAGCCCACGTACGAACGCTGTTGAATATGGTTCTTTCCGGCTATTGCCCATATAAAGCCTTATTTTGAAAACCCCCTACATTACAGCAATTGGATGTGGGGTTTAAGGAATTCAATAATCAGCCTGTAGCATACTGTAGCGTTCGGTTTTGCTTTTGTATCTAACTTTACAAGAGGTTTTAATAAATGTATGCCTTTATACGCGGGGTAAAATGCGCGCTGTAATTACATGACCTATGTATGCATACATGTATGCTTGTTCATGTATACATATTTATTTACTTATGTATAAATTTGTCTTATTTAGAGGATAGTAGAGCTAAATGAATCGAAAGGAGAACAGTTATAATGAAGTCTGTAAATATCGATTATTAATCGATAATTTATTCAAAATGCAAATAAATAATTAACGCGTACTACTTAATGAATATCAGATAACTATCTATGCTACAATAAGCGGCTGCGGCTGCTGCTG